TGCAGTCATGGGGCTGCAGCCCCTGGAATTCAGCGACTGCTACCTCGACAGTCCGTGGTTCCGGGAGAGGATCCGCGCCCACGAAGTGGAGCTCGAGAGGACCAACAAGTTCATCAAAGAGCTCATCAAGGACGGGAAGAACCTCATCGCGGCGACCAAAAGTAAGCGGGGACCTGGGCGCCCGTGGGCTGCGGCGCGGCGGGGCCGGGAGGAGCCTCTCCCCGGGGGAGACGGCCAGTCCCCTGCCCCAGGCCAGTGACCGGAGGAACTGGAGGTTCAGTCGGACCGGGAGGGCCTGGGGTCTTCTCCTCGGCTTCCCGGCAGCTGGTCGCAAGTTCCCTTACCCGCTCCTACCCCTCTTCGGTAGCCAGGGCCAGGAGCCATGCGTGAGAGACTCGTCCGGGAGCCCGCCTGCCCCAGACGGGCGTCGCTCGGTGTCTGCGTTCCCCGCAGGACTGCCCAAGAGAAATTTTCAATGCACCCTAAAGCTGCTCACCGTCTCCTACAAAACAGAAGCCATCAGTTTTACTAGTTTTGTCTTGTGATCTTTCAGAAGAACTTCCCTAAGGGTTCTTTGAAAACCTGGTGGGTGTTGAATTGCACCCTTCTTTTGTTAATTTCTGATCTTCCCGAACAGACTCGGGTCCTTCCCTGGGCTAAACCAGAAAGTCCACCTGGCGTTGTGCTGCTTTCCGCACATTCCTTCCCTCCTGCGCTGAGGAGAGGGGCACTGATGGGCTTGTAAGGGTGAGCAGCCAGCCAGCCTGCCCTCTGATCCCAGGGAGCGCTGCTTGCAAATAGGGATTTCCACCTCGGTCAAGCTGGATGCTTTCCTCCCTGGTTCCTCTCTGTCTTTTAAATACATATATATAGCTTGATTTCAGAGAGAGGAAGGGAGAGGGAGAGATAAAAACATCAATGATGAGAATCATCGATGGGCTGCCTCCTGCACGCCTCCTACTGGGAATCAGACCCACAACCAGGCATGTGCCCTGACTGGGAATCCAACCATGACCTCCTGGTTCATGGGTTCTCGCTCAACCACAGAGCCACACTAGCGGGGCTTTTTTCTATCTTGGAAGACTTGAAGTGGCCACAGAAGAAGTTGTGTGTATGTGTATTTATATCTGTCTGAGTATCTGAGAATAGGCTTTCTAGGAGGAAGGTGGGCCGAAATTCATTTTGGAATACTGAGTTGGTAATGCGGAGGTAAATGGGGAGGTATTAGCAGAGGTTCTCAACCTGTGGGTCGCGACCCCTTTGGTGGTCAAACGACCCTTTCACAGGGGTCGCCTAAGACCATCCTGCATATCAGATATTTACATTACGATTCATAACAGTAGCAACGTTACATTTATGAAGTAGCAACGAAAATAATTTTATGGTTGAGTCACAACATGAGGAACTGTATTTAAAGGGCCAGAAGGTTGAGAACCACTGAACTACAGTGAGAAGCTGGGCAGACTGACTACACCTGTAACTCATAGCCTGTTCTGAGGATGTCTCTAGTGCTCCTTGTTCTGTCTTAAAAACACCTGCTCATACAGCAGACAGGTGGGGGCAGTTATCCAGTCTTGCAAATCTGTGCTAGGGTCTTTATCTCTTCCCTGGCTTCTCAATTCAGAGATTTCTAGCCTTAGCAGTTTGACCCTTGTATGTTTATAGCCACCACCTCTAGGAAAAATACCCCTTGTCACTGTCTCCTCTCCTCCTCATTAAGGAAGATTAAACCCAGCACAGTGCCTGAACAGTAAATATCCATTTAATGAATAAGTTGGAATAAGGTTTAATGAGAAGAATTTAGTGAGCCATCCTTGTAATTTTGGAAGCTGCTTTGGATAATGTCCAAGTTCCCTTTTGGTTCTTAGATGTTGCAAAATGAGGATTGGGAATCACTTTGTTTGGGAGATGTGACTAAGTGGTCTTATTTGGTTGATGGCTCTCCGGTATCCATGGCATTGGGTATGGGTGGGAAGTAGGGAGGGACTGAAAATATGTAGGAGTGAGTGTAGAAAGGCAGAGGCCAGGAGAAGGGCACACAGTGATCGTGAAGCCTGGTGTTAACCAGAGTCCCTGGCTGGGGGTGTGTACCTTCCCTTACTGGCTGTAGCAGCTCCCTCAGGAGCTCGGGGGCTGAGGAGAGAGGCTTTGGTGTGCAGAGGGACAGATGGCAAAGCCAGTTTGGCCACTGGTAGAAAGCTATTTATGTGACTGCATCTTAGCTCTTCTGCCAAGCAGGACACATGCCTGGTATGTTCCAGCAGCAGCTAGTGCATCTGGGAAGTGGGGGGAGGGCAGCTGTTAGCCTTCCTCCCCAGAATATAGACTTCGGTGAATTTGTGAATTGGTATTGTATTCGTTTTGATTCTCGTCCTTTACCATAGGAAACATAGTTTATGCTTAAGAGAGCAACCAGAAAGTAACCTTTTTCTTACCATGTTTAATTAACTTAAATTCTTTCCCAGAAGATGTTAAGAGCACAGCTTTCGCTTACAAGCTTTTGTCAAGTTAGGAAGACACTGCCTTTACCCAGCTTGCTCCTTAAACTTCTAGTTCCTATAGAACAGTGGTTCTCAACCATGGGTGCACATTTAGAATCACCTGGGAATCTTTTTAAAATCCTGATTTCTGGGCCACATCCTCCGGAAATTCTGTTTCTTTGTTATGCGGTGGGGCCACAACATTAGTAACAAAGAAACAGAATTTCCGGAGGATGAGGCCCAGAAATCAGGATTTTAAAAAGATTCCCAGGCGATTCTAATGTGCAGCCAAGGTTGAGAACCACTGCTATAGAAGATTAAGAGCACTCGACTTAAGTTAGGACATCTGAGTTAATTCGCCTTCACTGTTGGGGCCTGGCTACATGACAATTGGGCAGGTCACTTTAATTCTTTTGTGTCCAGTTTCTCTTGTCCTACTTCTAAGAGACATTAGTAAGGTTCTGCAGTGTTTGGAAATTGCTTGATTAATTCATTTGAAATTGCAGCCTAGGTCAATCATTTGCCCAACTAGTTGTGCCTTTCCATAACATCTGAGAGTCAAGAAGTCCAAGAAGGACATGAGGGAGAGGGAAGAGCTACAGCAAGAATTAACGATCAACTCGGGCAGACTGCTTATATTTTAAGGTGTTTGCATTGTTTTTGCAAACAGGGATTATTTTGTGCATTTTTAGAATTGCGTGTTTAGTGATTTCTGTTTTTAATTGCCCTGTAAGATGCCTCCTGCAGGCACTAAATACTTGTTAGGTTTATGTAATTGTGATGTCTTGATGCTTTGAATATTCCACAAATGTGTAAAGATATTGGAGCGGGTTCTGTGGGACCTGAAGGCTTACTGCTGAGTTCAGTTATGTAGCAATCAGAAAATACTTAGCACCTACAAATATTGGAGTTGAGATAAAAGAGAGGTAATTGAGTTCATTGTCCTTGAGTTGAATAAAGTTCAATCTAGGGGACATGTCCTCTCTGTATTGTGCTAAGTTCTTGAAGAAACAAAAGATACGCAGACATACATGGTAAAAGTTAACAATTCAGTGACAAGTCAGTATTCTGACTTTGCCAGGAACAAGAGTTGGTTGTAGGTTTAGAGTAGAGAAGGTTTGCTGGGACTTTGGGAACTCATTGGTGTTTTAAGTAAGGAATAGCACTTTGTCAGATTGAAAACAGCCGAGAAGAAACCAGAATACCAACAGTGTCTGAGGACGATGAGGAGACCGGTTTGGCTGGAATAGAGATTTCATTTTGGGTGGTAGAATGGGATGAATGGAAAGGTCAGTTTCAGATTATGGAGGTCCATGAAAGTGAGGTTGGGAATGGGGACTTTATATCCTGTGGAGAATGGCTGAAAATTTTTCAGCAGAAGCTGGACATAGTGGGAAAGAGATGGCTGGGAGATGGTATGTGACATCTGTGTGGGATGGAGATAGCAGTGAGGGTAGGAAGGAGCTCCAGAGACAAGAGTCTAGGATCCTTGACTTAAGTTGTAGATGGAGATCATTCACTCAATTCAGTGGAGTCTTTGTTTAAACGGTTTTTAGTATTTTATTTTTTCACCCTACTCCTTTCCTTTTTTTCCCCCTTTCCTTTCCTGTTCCGTCCTGTGTCCTCTTTCAATACAGTTTAAACTGTGTAGTTTAGAGACTTATGATCTGTAGAAATGTGTGGCATATTTTCCAGAAACAGCCATAAGCCGTATATGCTTTTTTCATAAATTTTATGTTAGGCATTCTTGAGAGGATATATTTTATGCTGGAGGGAAATACATATTTTTATTATTTAATTTTTAGTCTCACCTGATGATATATTTATTGATGTGTGTGTGTGAGAGAAAGAGAGGGGGAGAGAGAGAGAGAGAGAGAGAGAGAGAGAGGAGAGAGAGAAGGAAAGAGGAAAAGAAAATCTATGGGAGATAGAAACATCGATGGATTGGTTGCCTCTCGTACTCGCCCTGACCAGGATTGGAACCCGCATCCTGAGTATGTGCCCTAACTGGAACTCTAACTGGAACCTCTTCAGTGCATGGGATGACTTTCCAAACAACTGAGCCTACTGGCCAGGGCCCAAAATACATATTTTTAAAACAAATAATTCTTACAGTTATTAAGCACTTACATGGGTATATAAAATGCTCTTTAGTAAACGTAGATTGTCTAGGGCTGTGTGTGTGTGTGTGAGAGAGAGAGAGAGAGAGAGAGAGAGAGAGAGAGAGAGAGAGAGAGAGAGAGAGAGAGAGAGAGAGAGAGAGAGAGAGAGAGAGAGAGAGAGAGAGAGAGAGAGAGAGAGAGAGAGAGAGAACACGGAGGGGAGGGAGAAAAGCTGGAGGGGCCCTCATATGTGAGTCTGCTCTTATCACAGATATGGGAAGAATGTTAGTGGCAGCCAGGACTAGAATTTAAGTCTTCCAAGTCTTGGTTTTAGTACTTCTTTTAGGCTTTGCTATTTTAATGATTTTGACCCTGTTTTCCTCAGGACAACATAAAAATTCCCTTTTGCTGTTTTTCTGTTTATTGTTTCCGAGAAATGGTTCATATGCTGATTCCTTTTGGAGAAATTTCTTAAGGTGCTGTTGCATCGAAACATAGGGAAATTTGGAAGACTTAAAAGAATTTCACTTCGTAAACTCAGTTTCCTCATTTGTAAAATGGGACTGCTGCAGAAAGCCT